AAAACAACGAAACTGATTTAATGGGTCTGCTAGTTGGCATTTTAAGTATTTAATTATTGTCATGTTTATAGGTACTGTAATGGAATTTGACCTCTGTTAGAATGGGTCTTATAATTTTTTTCTCACAAATTGCTTTTTTAAAAATAGTGTTTTTCCTCCTAAACTACTCCAGTTTTGAGGCCTAGGATTGTCACAGATCTTGAAGCCACCAGGTTTTTGTTTGTTTGCTTTTTTCCTTCTTTAAGAAAAAGAAAAGAAATACATTAATTTGAGAATGCATTCTGAATTATACTGTTAACCTAAAATTTCATTATTACCCCACCATGCTTAAAAATGTCCAAAATAGTTTATAAGGGAGGGATTTAACTTTGGTTTCTAGATGTTTATCTTTTGATACTTGCTACAAATTTCCCTATCAGTAGTAGGAGGAGAGTGGATATTGAATATTATTTTCTTTCTTTAAAAGACTTTAATAAATACTACTTGAATTGATTTCATTTGATGACGTATATGTATGGAAAAATATGATTATTAGTTACAGAATTTTTATTCCTCCTGTGACATCGAACATCCTCTTTCATTAGCCCCCCCCCCCCGCCTCAGCGTGGTCACCTGCCACTTCATAGGCACAAATAACTCACAGCATCACTGAACTGCTTATAGACCCTCAAGCCCCCATTACAGAGTTTGTTTCGTTCTGTTACCTTTGCGCCTTTGCCCTCGCTGCTGCTGTGCGAGGGGTCCTTTCCTGCACATTTGATACATGTTGCAATGCTGTAAGACTGGAAGCCTTTAAGCAGAGTTTTGTAGCCGCAAAAGTGGTAGTGTTCATTGGGTGGATGGCTATCATCAGATTGATCTAGCCATACCTTTTTTCTATTGTTGGAATGATTTATATCCTGTTTCTCAAGGGATGTCCTTCAAACTTTTTGAATACTTCTGGTGGCAGGAGTCGCTGGCTTCACAAGGAAGCCCATTACCGTTTTCCATAACTCTAAATCTTAACGAAGTTCTCTCAGAAGAACAGTTCTCATTTCTTCTTCCCATCACCTCATAAACAGGAAGTATTTTCTAAAATGTGGTCTGCTCAGGAACTTGTGCTCCAACATGCAGTGAAAGTCAGCTTTTCTGAATTAACTGTCATTGTTAACCCACTCTTGACCCCAGTTTTACATAAATCCTTTGAGAGTACAGTGTCACTTGATGTAGGCAAAAAGGTCAAAACGGCATTCTGTGCAGTTGTGCTGACTTCGTGTGTTTTACTTTGTCATAACTAGTTTAAAATATGGGGATGAGAGGGTGAAAGAATAGGGCATCTAGTGGTGTATGTAAACTGCACTGACAACCCAGGTCTCAGCTTCCCGTTCCATTTTATTTTAAATTCTCATAGATCTCCATTAGTGAAGGTAACTTTCCTCCTAAATTTCTGTGAGCCATTTGTGTAATTCAAATTCAAGTACTAAATATGCTTTTTTTAAACCAAATAAATTTATATAGATTTGTGAAACTGTTACAAATAAACTTTCACTTGTGTAATCATTTTCACTAAACTTAAAAGCTTCCTTGGGTTAAAACTCTTGTCCTGTTAATCTTGGTTTTCTCTTGTCCTTGCATGGGATCTGGTAAATAAGCACTCATAAATTCTTTTAAAAAAATAATAAGTAAATCTTTCATTTTCACTTCCCTCCTCACCAGCCCCCTGACCAAAAACAAAATATTCATATTTCTCCTTCCTCTGAGTTCAGCATTTATACACAGTTTTCAACATCTATACTACTGTTTTTTAAAGTATGTCTATTAATATCTACTTCAAAATTATTAATTACCTGGAATATGTATTTAAAAAGCAAATTTCTGAACCCCAGACTTGTTCATACGTGAGAATTTCTGAGGGTGAGACCCAGGAACCTTCACTGTTGTTACTGTTGTTGATTCTTTAGGGGATACATAATTTTTTTTTTACTTTACTATTAAATAGCTTAGAATGATGTGGAAGAGAGAAATAAAGATCTCATCCCTGGCAATCCCTACTTTTCTATCCCTTTCTTAACCCAGCCTTGATCCCCCTGCAGAAATTTGTGGAGGTCCAATAGAGTTTCCAGGTGAGAAGGGGAAAAAAGTGTTTCCGACAACAGCTACCACAGACCTGTTCATCTCACAGGAGTGATAGACACTCTCTCAGACCCTCCCAGGAGCCACGTAAGGTGGCTTTCCAAGGTCCCTTTGGAAGTTGGTCTCTTTGGAAGAGGTTGTAAAGACCAACTCTGAAGGAAACATCGGGGGTAATAGATGGGTTCTTTCTGACCTCTGGCAAAATTGAAGGCTAGAACATTCTTATAGTGCTTGTACTAAATCAGGATCTTAAGCTGGATTCAAAGATCTGTCTCTCATAAGGCAGCACGTCAAGATGTTTAATCAGCCAAATTTGACCCACCGTTCACCAGTTTTTTTTATAAAGGCTGTGACTTGGGAACAGGCACCTGGAAAAGGCGTAGGGAAAGGTGTCGGTGGGGTGGGGGTGGGGCGGGGTGGCGTGGGGCCTGCGTGCCTTCTCCACTCAGGCCGTCTTTCCACGTCCGTCACTTGCGTGTGTTCACCAACTCAGAAGTTTCGGAACTTCCACTTCTAAAGCCCTGCCCATGGGATTCATACATAAAAAAGTGCTATAACATAATCAGGTTTTGAGCCTTTTTATGTTTATATTTGCTTTATAAGTCTTTATTGAATTAACAAATTAAATTTTACTTAATTTTCAAAGACCCTAACTGGTCACAAAAAGAAGTGAGGTCGATTGATAACAAGCAGTGAGCTCTTTGGGAATTTATTCTGTATAACCAAAACGAATTTATTATGAAGTACTATTTCTTTGATTTTTGCTTTCAGCCTCTGCCAGATCAGCGTCCCTGTTTCCGTTTGGCTTTATCATTCTTCTAAGTCATTTAAGCCTGAAGCTCTTAAGTCATTATTGTTACATCTCTCTTTTTATAATCGTCTAGTTATTCATCAAGCAGCAGTAATACTTTGTTTGAAATATGTCCTGTGTTTTTCTCTTTTTTCATTTATTTGTGCTTTTCATCTCCTCGTTCCTGTTTCTCCCCTCCCTTCATAGATTACTTCCAGCACATTTATGTCCCCTTTAGCTGACCTTCGTACACTGCTAGTGGATGTCCTTAACCATTACCCAGAGGAATTCAGGCAGAGTCAGACATTGCTTACCACCTTTATTTGAGCCCAGGTCATTCAGAAAGTTCCCTAGCAAATTTAATATTTGCATTTAACTCCAACTTGTATATTTGGCTATCATTAAAAAGTAGGGTATAATGATAAATATATTTCCTCAACTTGATTATTATATCTGTTTTACTTCAAGTACCTTTATCTACTTTAAAAATTGTATTTTACCCTCACAATTAAATATGATCCTTTAAAAAATCCAATTTCAGTTCTAGGGGAAGAAGTGATCAAAAGGTAGCCTAGATTTCAGATCTAATTAATTAATTAGAAGTCAGCCTTTAAAATAAGTATATAGCATACTCTAATCAGAGAAATGACTTTAAATGTCACTCTTTAATTTTTTCTCATTCCTCACGTGTTTGATCTTAGGCATTGTATTTAAACTACTGGCAAGTTCAAGATTTTTAAGAATCTGAAATAATGCTATTTATCTAACCTTGTTTCTATTTTCTAACACAAAACATCTATTAAGAAAGTTCCTTCATTATCCCATTCAGTTCCAATTCTTACCTCTCAACTTGTGTTCCTGTTGTTCCCCAAGTCTGTATTGCCTCGTTCTCTCCCTCCTGCTTATCTAAATTCTCTCATCCTTTCTTTTAACCCAATCCCTACTTTTCTATCCCTTTCTTAACCATCTCATCTTCATTTCTGGCTTCTCACAGCTGCTGATACGCCTGTAGAATGCACTCTGCCACCTGCTGTTCACATATATTCTTCCCTAGTTGTGGTACTTCATTAGTGTGGCCCCAGTTGTATTCCTGGCTTCTGCCTTGACAGCAAAAAGTATTACCACCAGCAGCTACTTAGTTTTCTAGGGAAGAAAGTTATGATAAAATTTAAGTCTCCTTAACCTGGAGAGCCTACTTTATGTCTGGAACCTATTTTATAAGATCAGAAATATGGTGACTAGAATGGTACAGTAGTAGTAACAATTGGGACAGCTGCCCTTTAACTGTAAAGAAATTGGGGTATTTTAATAAGAATAACTGCCATGTATTTTGGGGCGCCTTATAATATGCCTGTTTTTCTCTGGTTAGATACTTGACTGTGTTTTCTTTGAGTTTTTATTAAAAAATTCTATGAAAAACCTACAATTATCTGTTTCGTAATTGAAGAGATTGAATCTCTAAGAGGGTTAAGAAATACTATGACAGAACCAAAATGGAGGTCCGGGTCTCCCTATCTTAAATTCGTTACTGTTTCTACTGTGACATCGCTAAAATAGTACAGAACTCTTGGAACAGCTCTGCCTGAGAATTCCCGAGGACTAGCGAATAACGCCAGTAGACAGGCATGGTCCCACACTCAGAGGCCCTCCTCATGCAGAGTGCCCCGCCCCGCCCCCGTCAGAAGTGCAGTTGCAAGCCCGAGGCTCTCAAGCTTTATTCAGGAGAGCGTCCGAAGGTCTCAGGTACTGGCATGTGGAGGCGATTGCAGGTTTCTAGAGGACATCTGAGTGCTGTGTGGTAAAGGAAATTAAGCTGGAAAGCATAATTTCCAAATTAAGCTGGGAATGAAGGAAGGGTGGTGGATGTACATGGTATTTTTGTGTATCAGTCCTCCTTCCCTCGTACATGTTCTTTACAACCTTTTCTCCCTGAGTGAAGATCACTTTGAGTTCGTACATTGTGTGTCTTTTAATGGGAATTAAATCCTCAAATCCTGTTTATTTTCCATAACTTGTTTGAATGCATTGAAGTGTGCTTAAATGAGAATATAGAAAAGACTGGATAACAAAAGGCTTCTTAGTAATGAAGTACACAAAACATGGGACCTGCAGGAACCAACCATGTGGACAAACGAAAAATGCCTTTTGTCTGCACATTGCCGTGACCCTACAGAAACATGGAGGACTCTGTCTGGCTTAGCACAGCTGGCTGAGTCTGATCGTTCCCCTCCACACAACCTTTAAAACCTGCGCTCCAGGTACTGCTTTCCTTGTCATTTTGCTTAATATCTCTGCTGATTAACTGTGCTGGATTTTTCTTTAAATTTGCATTGAATATATCGGGGTGACCTAGGTTTCAGGTGTGAAGTCCTATAATACATCATCTGTATTTTGTATCGTGTGTTCACTCAAAGTCAAGTCTCCTTCTGTCACCATTTATCCCCCTATACCCTCTTCTTCCTTTCCCCACAGCGTACTGGGTTTTTAATAGACAACCCAGTGATGTTACTTCTGCATCCATCTTAACTGGTTTTTTGAGGAATCTTACGGTTTTTAAAAATAGGTATTGTTTGTTTGTTTCAGGAAGCTACAGATAGGAAGTAGAATGAATGTAGAAATATTTTTCTGAGGGACCACATTCACTTAACTAACTCAGGATTATCAATAAAGGCTGATCAATATTTAGCTGTGAAGGAGTTAGAGGTGGCTTTCGTGAAAATTTTCTCATTAAGAATTGCCTTGTTATTATTAAAGTGTTTTTTTACAAAATACAGTTTATGTAATCTTTTACTGTATCCAAATTTTGAAATGACCATTTCCAAGGTAAAAGCTGGCTATTAAGTATTAACTTCTTAGTATTAAATTTGAAATCTCCGTTTTTCATGGCGTGTGTTCTGCTGTGGGGAGGGGGTGGCGGAGGGGACGGGAAAGGGGGAGGGAGTAGCAGAGGTATTTCTAATGCACTGAGAGTGATACATAGCGCCAGGGTGTGCTAATAAGCAAGCTGCCGCTGTGGGTTTATTTATAACATTGTGTGAGAATCCTGTTTGTGGTTCTGAAATCCCCATATTTTTTACTCTGAGCAGCTACTGCATCGACAGTTGTTGAATAACTAGCCTTATTTTTTTTTAGGCTCTTTAGAAGCCCTTAGTCTACTCTAGTCTTCATTTTAATGAGCCATTTTAAGATTTTTCTTGTGTTATTTTTGTTCTTTTTCTTTGCATGATAAATTTAAATCTAGATTCAAGACCCTTCACTAAAATGACCTCCCGCTAAAAATCATGAACACAGAGAATAGAATGCTTATGACTAAACCTATCTCAACATATGTGTCCAATATACTTAAGAGCTGTCCCCCCTGATCTTTATCACTTTCTAGGATGTCTTGACCAAGGCCAAGATGTGTAGTACTTTTCCCTGTGTCCTTAAATCCTTTGCAGTGCCCCTGTGTTTTTTAGTCTACTTGCTGCCATATTTTTCCATGTAACTGCATGTGTATCCTCACCCTTTCCTGCAATATCATACATGCCCCTTAAAATTTTCTTCTGCACAAAACCCAGTAAATCTAGTAGATATCAGCAGGCTTCTACTCAAACCAGATATGTGAATGAAGGAATCAAGTGACCCTCACATGTAACAACGCAAAGCTGATCTTAATTCAGGATGGGCTTATTCGAATGTAAAGGCAAGTGAGCATGTACAGTGATGACACTGTACCAGCGCCATCAGTCACCCACCCCGCTTTGCTCTCTGAGGTTTATGAAAGCTCAGACTTTGGTCCTCATTATATAAATTTTAAATCCCTTTAAGATGGGTATTTACTGTGTCTTTACCATTAAAGATTGACTAGAACTAGAACTACTTTTATGGCAGAGAATATGCCATATCCTGTAAAATCAGGGACAGTCAGATGTGTAATGGGATAGCTGTACTAGTTTTTTTATGACTGGTGCCTGTATTAAATATTTTTAATATTCACCGCTAAGAGCAGTTATAGTATGTATTCCCTGACTGTGAACACAAGTTCCTTTGGGTGCCTAATAAAAAGATCAGCACTTAACAGAAAAAAATGTAAGTTGGATGCAGGGAGGAACCAGGACAATCTGTGGTGCTTTGCCAGACAAATTCAGGTGCCCTGCAGACACCCTGAGCTCCCGTCTCTCTGCTCAGGCCCGCGCAGGCTCCTCTGTGCTCTGTGGGATTGCGCGTTCCTGCTCTGGGGTCCCGGAGCCACCTCCAAGCAGGAAGCCAGGGCACTTACAGGACTCGCCTCGTTTGTTTCCCTTCCTATGGGAAGTGCAGTCCTGCACTACTTCTTGTCCAGTGTTCTCTTAAATATTTTGTTTAGTTTTCTAGTTGGTAAGAGAACAGATCTCTTCCACTTACTCTGCCATGGCCAGAAATGGAAATTGTTTGGGTTTTTTACATATTTAAATCTATAATAAAATTAATTCACATTTAAAATCAATTATGTCTATCTCTCGGAATAAATCCTCTAACTGCAAACTAGGTGAATAATTGTTATTTCTCAGCTTGTTTAGGATTTTCATATATTAACTGTATTGGCACTTTTATAGGCAAGCTAGCAAAGAGAAAACTTAAGTGGATGCTCGTTGGTGACTGTATGACTTCTATTTTTCTAAAAGACTTACTTTTAACTTTTACCATTATCTTTTTTTAGTCTCTTTATATTAAGAAGAAAATATTAAGTGCAGGATTAATAGCAAAACTGTCAGTTACCAAGAAAGAAGGAGAAAATGAGAATTACTGGCTAGCATTTTTATTTCACTTAGCAAGTAAAAACAACTCAGTGAGCCAGAACTTATTTACATTCGGGCTCTGGCAGAAGACAGCTGCGGCTAGGGATTCCCAGTCATTCCAAACGCAAGCGAAATCACTCGAGACCTGCAGTAATAATCTTGTACTTGCCACTTTTATACCTCTATGCTGAAGTATGAAATATCTGGGGTTTGTTTTTGTTTTTTTTTTTTTGGCTTTATGGGGAACTTCTAGCAACCTTTTTTTTTTTTAATTGAATTTATTTGGGTTGACATTGGTGAATAAAATTATATGGATTTCATGGGTACAGTTGTGTAATAGGTCATCTGTATATTGTGTGTTCACCACCCCAAGTCAAGTCTCCTTCCATCACCATTTATAATACCTGGTTTTATTTTTCTGTGGTGTGCAAAAATTAATTTATCTTAAGTTAGTACTTGGCTATATGAAAGACAGTTTAATCCTAAATCCTTTCTTTTTTTTAATAAGTCCATGGTCTTTGCAGGGAGGGTGTACACTGAGATGTGAAACTATTATTTTTCTTTCATTGTTTGTTGATATTAAGTTCTGAGTGTTTCTAAGAATTCTCGGGGCACTCTGTCACCTATATGTTAGCCCCAAAAGATGGTTGCAGCTGGGCAATCACCTCCTGTGTTGGCTTATTTATAAATGAGATATTTACCTGTCTTCACAGGAAAAGATGCTTAGTGTTAACCCTTTGGTAGCATCTAATGTGGCGCCACCTATTAATGCTATGACAGTCCTGAGTTTACAAAAGAACATTGTCTATTCATGTTGGGTAGTTATCAGAAGTCTTCTTGGGTTTAGTGTAGTCATTGTACAGACTTCACACTCCTCCTGTGTGGTGACCTGCTGTTTAAGTGAGCCTCGTCTTCACACTGTATGCTAGTATACCACACATTTCCAGGCTTTCCTTCCACGAAGAATTGGCAGTTTGAATCATGTGATAATCTGTGTGACCGGCACAGTGTACTCATTCTCCCTGCCTCAGGGAGCACCCTCGTCTCTGCCGGGTTTGGCCGCCTTCCTCCCTTGTGTTAAAAGGTTACGACAACTACAATGGCAGAAAGAGATAGAGCTGTGGGCTCTGTCGGTCTAATTTTCACGATCCTGCTTTTGTCTGTGTTCCCACAGCAGAGGGAGCAATTTGGGGTGACTGCCGTGTCTGACGAGGGTGGCCATGGCTTTCTTGGAGACTGGAGTCTCCTCAAACAGAAACTAGATCGATCCAGTGCTCTAGCGCCATTTGTGGCTTCATTTCTGGAAGGTGTTGACAGAAGAACCATGTCTGGGTCCAAACTGGATATGGAAACTAATTCTAATAGGGAATACTGTATTACCCATGTTACTGTTTTCAGGGATATGGGTGCTGATTTAAGGAGAAACCTCAGCTAGGAAAATGTCGGTGTTAGAGGAGGAAAAAGTTTTCCTTAACCCTCTTGGGTCCTTAGCTGGGTCTGAAAATTAACCTGGACACATTACCAGGAGAAGCACATACAGATGTGTTTGTTTTCTGCGACATGGGCGCCTGCATAAAGAAGTGAGGACCCTAAGGAACAGGCATGCGTGTTTAGTGCTGGGTGGGAGGGCGAGTGGGCCCTTGCACGGGAACGTGGTCGCTCACGAAGCAGGAGGCGGCCATTGCAGTCTGGGGAACCCAGCAAGGCCTGTTTGTTCGGTTCTTCTTGGCTTCCCTTGTCTTTGGAGAGGAGGGTGTTCCTTTCCTCTGCATACGGGGTGGGCGCCTCAGTGGAGGGCTTTGTGATCTGTTTTGGGGTTGCGGGTTCAGAGTGACCTTCCTGCTTCTGTTGTCTTCTCAAGCTCCTTCGGTTTAAGGTCTGCAGTATCAGGTGCCAGATTTTGAGGTGGTGTGCCCCAGACCCCACCCTCAGCGGCGCTCATGCCCGCCCCAGGTGAAAACACGTCCTTGTTCCCTCTTGGGGCAACAAAGACCGCGGATGGTATCGCCACTGACTGCATCTGAGGAATAGTGAGATACCAAAAATGTGAGTGATAGTGGGAAAAATTATTCCCTCTCACACCAGAATCAAAGATGTGAGCATTTTCCAAAAGTAACTTTACAAGAAATCAAAGGGAAAGTTAAAAAATACAAATATATTAAGTTGGTAGAACACAGTTTCCTTACAGCAGAGAAACTAAAGTTTAGCTCAGGTTAGCTGAAGTAACTTTCCCAGTATACAGATCAAGAATCTTCTGTCTTCTCCTCCTCACTTTGTCACGAAGCCTGTAGGATGTTAAGGCAGATCCTGTCTTTCATTGAGGTGTGACCACTTTATCTGTTTCTCATAACTATTACTTGGATTCAGTCTTTCCATCAGCCATGTGATTTCTATGGCAGTTTTGAGTCTGTTTACCTCCTTTTGGCTGCCTACTCTGAAAAGCAAAAAGACTTTTATACACTTCCAAGCTCCAGAGCC